GCACAAAAACATCAAAATTAGCACAGAAATAGTACTATATAACATTTTAGACACATTCTTGACAGTTTATCAGCTAAAAAAGTTAATTTTGGGGTAAGTTACTCTTTAATCTGCCAATAGCGGAACTAGCGTCTCATTTAGCTGATTAGCTTTTCTGCTAACTTTGGAAACTGTTAGCAACCTGATTAGCATAGACTAAATTTGGTTCCACAAGTGTAAAACTTCAATTTTTATGTTGTTTAACCCAATTTAAATAAAAAGTATCCACTTTTAGAAGCAGTGCTGGACGGTAAGGCACCGTGTGTGTTATTAGCATGTAGCATCTTTAGCAGCAAAACTTCAAATTAAGAGCGTCAAAAAGAAATAAAATAACATTTAACAACATTTAAATAAAAACTGTCTATGTATAAAATATAGTAGAAAATGCATTTGCTATTTGTTGTTTGACTAACTTCAAGAAATAAAAACTTGATCAATTAAAAGCTTTTATTCTGAAAGGGGTAAACTGGAAGTTAGAGTTATAACTGGTTTGGATTGGCTGATTTGCAACAGATGCTAGCATTAGCTAACAAAAAAAAGTTAATTTTGGGGTAAGTTACTCTTTAAGTGAAATTCTCTTTACATGTTGCTTGAAATTTAGTTTGGTATCAAAAACTACTCCAAGGTATAAACTGTTCAACCAGATCTAATGTCTCTCCATTGACTAACTTTAGGTCAGTTTAGTCAGCTGAGCTATAAAACTTCAGCCGGAGCAGGAAGCATATTAATCTACTCATTCATCAATTCATGAAAGAAATGGACCTAATAAGGTATAAATTGCTGTTAAAGGCAGAGCTTAGTAAACTTTTAGAAGTAAAATTACTTTGATTTGACATTTTAAGGCAGTAAAATAAATGACTAGTATGGAAGTACCAGTTTAAATGTCTGGTTGTTTTACCATGTAAACAACCAGACATTTGTGAGTTCGTCACTGACTTTTCTGCAAACAGAGGAGAGAAGGTCTTTTTATTCAAACAGCTACATTTGATTTAAAACTGAATTTCGTGCAACATTTAACCCAACAAAAGATCTGAGTTTTCTTAAAAGGCTGATTTATTTACATCTCATCGGACATGTTTGTTTTTTATTCCTTCATGAATGATGAGATTCAGTTTGTTGAAGCAGCTCCAAAAGCTTCAATTCAGTCTGATGATCCATCAGAAACAGGCTCTGGCACATGTTTCTGGATTATTATGAGATTAAAACACACACACACACACACACACACACACACACACACACACACACACNCATTAGTAGACAAAACAACGGTGGTGGGCACAGCTAACCAAAAAATTAGCTTTATTAACTCATAATTAGCTATCTAACAACAAAGCTTCACTAACACTACGCTGCTAAACTAGTAAACATTCGGAGAAGCTGATAGTAACAGCTAACCACTTACTGCAAAGAAAACCAAAAATGATATGACGACGGTCGGCCATTTTATCAGAAGCTAACGCTAAACAGCTAAACAAGTAAAAATCAGTGGAAGCTAATGCTAACAGGTAATCGCTAACAGCTAAGATGACTGTCAGTTGTCTTAGCAGAAACCATACTAAACAACTGTTGATGTTAGCTTAACAGTTAGCAGTTAATGGACTTAAAGTTGGCAAAACCTAATTTAGCTGAAACTGATTGGTCCACTAACGGTTTTCAAAGTTAGCGAGACAGCTAACGTTCTGGCCCACCGCTGCAAAACAACAAAGAACAAAGACAAACAGGTGTAAATAAAGGAGTAAAATAAAATACCTGTATGTGTGCGCACGTGTCTCTTGAGGTCGAAGGTGTCGTTGAAGCCTTTACTGCAGAAGCTGCACAGGTGCCTCTTCGTCTCGTTGTGGCACTTCACGTGTCTGTTCAACATGCGCTGGAACTGGAAGGTCTTCTGGCACACCTAAAACACCAAAATACACAATCGTCTCATATTCACTCTTTATTTAGAGCTGTTTACGTCTGTGTTTTCAGCTGCTTTTGGTTTATTTTTAACCGTATTATTATAATAAACAAGTAATCTGAGTCACATTAGTTCGGCCTTGTTGCGTTCGTACCTGACACACAAAGCCTCCTGTTCTTGACGTGTTTTGATTTTCGCCCAGCGACGCAGTGATCATGGAGGTCGGCTCAGACGGGGCCGGGGTTTGTTGTGAGGCAGCCGTCATCGCAGCGAGCGGTGGGGTTGAAGGCGGGGGTTCAGAAGTCGGGGGCGGAGCTTGAAGAAGAAGGGCGGGATCAGGAGGTAACTCACCTGTAGTCACCTGTGATTGACAGAAAATGATATATTACTGTTAAATCACACCAACAGGTTATTTCATCATTTCATGTTTACGACTGGGAGTTTCTCACCTTAATTTTGGACCGGACGTAGATGGAGCCGCCCTGCGACCTCCTCCTGACGTCCGGCTTCCCCTCCGGCGAACCCGACGGGCTGCAGGGTTCTCCGAGCACGGTGCTGGACGGCAGCTCGGCGTGTGCGTCCGACACGGAGTGTTTGGTGAGGCAGAGAGGGCTGGTCTCTGCTGGACTGGCCTCGGCCTCGATCGTCAGGACGGCAGGAGGGAAAATAGAAACTGGAGGGAAGAAAGAAGAGCTGTTATTATGTTTTCTTTACCTCTTATCAATGCAAAATGCTTTTATTTAAAGTGATCCCCGATTAGTTGTGACATTAGACTTTATTTGATAAACATATATTTTAACTCTGAAATAAACACTGCAAAAATACTGTAGGCTGTTTAGTTTTTATCATTTTTAAACTAAAAGTTTTAAAATACATTACACGAACGGGGCCATTTTATTTACATGCAAAGCATTCTGGGTAAATGATGACGTGGATAGGTCCTCGGTGCGAGGCTGCTAGCGAGCTATATCCACCCTGAAGGTTAATCTTGGACAATATCTGATGATTGGCTTTTTTAAACAGCCAATTTTGTGTTTTTCAGGCTTATATTTAAATACTATACCATAATAAAGTATCTACAGTATGTCACCTTTAGCTGTTATTAAAA